ATCACATCGCCGTAACCCTTCAGCAAGCAAACTGAACGACTAATTTAAATAAAAAAAATTTAAACCCACCAGCTTAAAAAAAAATAAAGCAAATTTGAGGTACAATAGTTATTCATGCATTTTTAATGAAACTGCCCTAGGCTTCCTACAGTTGTCTCTGGCATTACCTACATTTTCAGGGTTAACGACGTTTATTCCAAACTTTTTTTCTAATATACTAAATTAATATTGACATAAAAAATTATAAATTTGACAAAATTCAGGGTGTCAGAACTCGCGCCCTAAAGAAAAATTTTAAGTGAGATAAGATAAAAAAAATGTTTAAAAAATTCTATCTGTCAAAAAAATTTGAGATTTGACAGTTTTTTATGTCTATTTAATGATACTGATCACTTTGTATATGTTTTTTTATATTTTTTTTAGTAAAGGTAGAAAAATTTTGCAAATAAAAGCCACAAATAACATTAAACAGAGTTACAATTTAGGATATTGCTTCTTTGTTTCCTCTTCTAAAAGCCTGTAGCAGAAAAATTGGAAAATTATTTTTCCAACAGAAATAAATAGAGTCAAAACTGAAACTCTTATAAAATAGAATAGAAACTTTTATAGATAGAATTTTTTAAATATTCTTCCATGTTCCTGGTATTGTAACTTACATGGCATTTTTCTCTGGAGCGCGTTTTCTAGCGCAACTTGTATATTTTTCAATTAAATATTGAAATTAGATACAAAAGCAGTCTAAATCAAATATCTACAATGAGATTTGTATATTTTTTTTTAATTTCAAGAAATTCTACCCTAAAATACTAAATAAATCTAAAGCGTGAGTAACATTGTTGCCATTTTATCACAATTTTAGCTAAGTTATAAGCCACTATAATAAATTTATTTTTTAATAAAAACTAGAATAAACAAAAAAGTATTATAAAATTGTTTTTTGTACAAGAGATTTGCAATTTAACTAAATTGGCAGAAAAATTAAAATTTTTAATTTTTGGATGTATGAAACCACTAAAATTTTAGAAATTTTGCAATTATTATTCTGATCGTAAATCTTTGCAAAAAATATATCATTAAGTTTAAAAATTAAAAAAAAATTAATACAAAAACGTGCTGCTGTCATTTTTGAAACTTACTGTATACATAAAAAATAGAATAAAGTTACAATAAG